TCATCTCTTACATCTAGTTCTGGAGGTGCAGCCCCACTGTACAGGTGGGGCCAAGGAACCACGAGCCCAGCTGCCACATGGAGGAGCAGGGACTTGTGGACCTTGGGGCTTCCTCTTGCTGCCTCAGTACAGGGAACCTTTCTGTCACCTTTACTTTGGGATGCTGCTTCCCTGCATGGCCATGGACAACAGCAGGACCTGGTCTTTTCAGAGCAGCACTGCCAGTTCAGGGGTTTTGGATATCATGGGGGGGAACCCAAGACCAGCTGGCCAGGACAGCCAGGACATGCTTACCCAGGGAAAGGGATGTGCAGGGAGAAGAGCAAGGGAGCATTTCTGTGCCTACAGGAGGAATCCATGAGAAAGAGAAAGGTCTTTCTGCAGGCACCCACTTGGGGCAGGCTTCTCTGCCCCCTGCGCAGGACTCTTGTGCTGGCCGAGGGAGAGGGGCTGGCAGAAGCAGCCTGTGGTGGGGATGACCTGGACCCTAAAGTGGAAGTTCTTCAGTTTCACTGACCTCCATTTCATCATGCCATGGTGAGCCTCCAGCCCTGGGGATGCCGGGGAAGCTGACCCCTCTCTGTGACCAGCAGGTGCTGTGCCCTTCAGAGGGGCTGTGGCTGTGGGGTGAGTGCCCAGAGCTCTGCAGCACCCTGCAGTGGGTACTGCTGTGGGGCCAGCCCAGGCTTGGCTGCTCTGTGGGGCTGGGCTGGGAAGAGGGGCAGGGGAGGCGGGAAGAGCTGGGAAAGGTCTGGGCTGTGCTGGAAAGTGCACAGGAGAGAACACCACCAACGTTAGCTGAGCTGTGGGACCATGCAGGGCAAGGACATGCTCCAGTGGGTGTGTAGTATAGAGCCCAGTCTCCTGGCTGGGAACTGAGATGTGAAGGTGCAGGAGAGAGGAGGCTGCTCCGTGTCCCTGGTGGCATGGAGGGACCAAGAAGATGCTCCAGGTCATTTATCACGGGTCCCCCAGCCTTGTCTATTGTTCATTTCCAGCACTGGCCACTCTCCAAATTTATGAGTGATTTTTCTCCATGGCCATCTCCTTCCTTCTGTTGGTCTTGGTACCTGTGATACTGAGTTTTGCATTTTGAAAAAGACCATATCATCCCTGTCTAACTGGAGGAACACAGTCAAGCCTGAAGTAATTTACAACTGGATGGCCTTAGTGGTTGTTGTATGTGATTATATAGAAGGAAGTCCTGAGATACCGTATGCTTGAGTAGAACACATGAGGAAGTTGTGCTAGAATCAAGTAGTTTTGTATCAGCAAGAAATCTGTAATTAGGCCAGTAACGGACTGAGCATGCCCAAAGACTGAGTTCAATGAGTGGACACAGTGAGGAAGACTATTGATGACCACCAGAGGACCACCGATGGACATAAATGCACATGCTTCAAGGACATTTGCATATATTAATGACTTCCAATAAATTGTATGAATAGGATAATTATTTCCAAGAAGCCTAACGAATATGTAAATTTTGATTGCCTATAACCCTCTGTAGTTGAATAATTGGGGGCACACACTAGCAGGAGCGATCCCCTGTATGCCTGCACCATAATAAAGAATGACTGCTTTTTGAGTTTCAGAGGATTCTTATCCTGCTGACTTATGGTCTCACCTGTGCTGGGGGAATATGCAGCCCTGCCCCAGCCTCTGTTCTTGCCCAGACCTTGGCAGACCCCAGGATGGGGCTGTTTGCAAATCCTTGTGTGGGACACGGCTGGGGCTGGGCACTGGTGGGCTGCAAAAGTGTGAGCACTGTTGGGGATGGACACTAAGGTCTGGCATGGGGAGTTGTGGTGGGGAACGTTTCCTCACCCCAAACACACCCAGTGTCCTGTGCTGTGTCTGATGAGGGGGGATGTGGGGTCATGTGTTGGGCAGTGGGGCTGCACTGGCTCAGGGACAAGTCGCAGATGGGAGCTACAACACAGCGATCAGGAGGTGGAAGCAAGGAGAGGCTACCAAGGGGCAATTTGTAAATATGACCTGAGCATGCAGGTACGTGTTTAGGAAAGGCAAAGCTCAGCTGGAGCTGATGGTCGCTGCAGGCAGCATCAAGAGCAAAATGAAGAGCTTCAGTCACTGTGTTTGCAGTGAAGTGTGTCCAGGAGGTGAAATGAAGGGACTCTTCCACTCTGTGTGGAACATATTAGACCACATCCAGAACACTGCATCAGGTTTTGGGAACCCCAGTACTGCAAAGGTGCCAGCAAGCTGGAGCAAATTTAGTGAAGGGCACTGAAGATGGTCAGGGGGCTGGACCACTTTGTGA